TGTAGCAACATGGATGGACCTTGAGGGTGTTATGCTGAGCGAAATAAGTCAGGCAGAGAAGGACAAATACCATATGTTTGCACGTATAGGAGGATTAGGAGGAACTTGACGGAGGACCAAGGGGGAGAAGAAGGGCGGAAATGGTGGGGGAAAGGGAGAGAGGCAAACCATGAGAGACTCTTGAATGCTGACAAAAACTGAGGACTGATGGATGTGGGGGGGAGGGGGGAACGGGCATGAAGGAGGGCACTTTGGGGATGAGCACTGAGTGTTATGTAGAAACTAATTTGACAATAAACTATTTGTAAAAAAAAAAAAAAAAAAAAAAAAATTAATGTTTAAATAAGTTAATATAAGCATTCCCTGCCTTTTCAGAGTCCACAGTATGGCACTTGGCTCTTATGAAAAGACCTACAGTAGTACTCATAAGACCTAAAGTAGTACCTGTTTTTGTTAACTGATTCAAATCCACAGAGTTTTCGCTTTTGCAAAAAAGATGTGAAAAGGCAAATGGTGCTCAGCACTGGTCTTCCTGGGAGCCCTCATAGAGGCAGCACATGCCCAAGGCACGAGAATGCCCCACCTACTCCTTCCCTGGGAACTATACTTGGCATCTCAGTGTCTAGTCGTCAGAGTTTTGAACTCTGAGCATCTGGCCCTTATCTCCATCTATTCTGTGTATCTGTTAGCAAGATGTGTCCTGAAGTATTGGAAAACCCTAAGAGAGGTTATTTTCGGGGTCCAAGAACATGCAAAATTTTTTCCATATAAATTCATGGTAATTGCTTTTTTTTTTTGCTTTACAACCCATTCAGCTTACAAAAAGATTCAGAGGAGTGCTCCACTTTATATAGTGGGGGACTGAAGAAGACATAAAGAAATGGAAAAACATTCCATGCTCATGGATTAGAAGAACAAATATTGTTAAAATGTCAATACTACCCAAAGCAATCTACACATTCAATACAATTCCAATCAAAATTGCACCAGCATTCTTCTCAAAGCCAGAACAAACAATCCTAAAATTTGTACAGAACCACAAAAGACCTCGAAGAGCCAAAGTAACATTGAAAAAGAAAACCAAAGTGGGAGGCATCACAATCTCAGACTTTAGCCTCTACTGCAAAGTGGTAATAATTCAGAAAGTATGGTACTGGCACAAAAACAAATACATAGACCAGCGGAATAGAACAGAGAACCCAGAATTGGACCAACAAATGTATGGCCAACTCATCTCTGACATAGCAAGAAAGAGTATCCAATGAAAAAAAGACAATCTCTTTAGCAAATGGTGCTGGTAGAACTGGACAGTAAAAAGTAAAAGAATGAAACTGGACCACTTTCTTACAACATACACAAAAATAAACTCAAAATGGATGCATGACCTAAATGTGAGACAGGAAACCATCAAAACCCTAGAGGAGAAAACAGGCAACAACCTCTTTGACCTCAGCCATAGCAATTTCTTGTTCAACCCACCTCCAAAGGCCAGGGAATTAAAAGCAAAAATGAAACTGGGACCTTATCAAGTTAAAAAGTTTCTGGACTGCAAAGGAAAGAATCAACCAAACTAAAAGGCAACCAACAGAATGCGAAAAGATGTTTGCAAATGACACATGAGATAAAGAAAGGGTTAGTATCCAAAATCTATAAAGAGTTTACCAAACTCAACACTCAAAAAACAAATGATCCAGTGAAGAAATGGACAGAAGACATGAGCAGACACTTTTCCAAAGAAGACGTCCAGATGGCCGACACATGAAAAGATGCTCAACATCACTCATCATCAGGGAAATACACATCAAAATCACACTGAGATACCACCTCACACCGGTCAGAGTGGCTAAAATTAACCACTTAGGAAACAGATGCTGGTGAGGATGTGGAGAAACGGGACCTCCCCTGCACTGTTGATGGGAATGCAAACTGGTCTGGCCACTCTGGAAAACAGTGTGGAAGTTCCTCAAAAAATTAAAACTAGAACTACCGTAAGACCCAGCTATAGCACCACTAGGAATTTATCCAAAGGATACAGGAGTGCTGTTGCATAGGGGCACATATACCCCAATGTTTATAGCAGCGCTTTCAACAATAGCCAAATTGTGGAAAGAGCCTAAATGTCCGTCAACTGATGCATGAATAAAGATGATGTGGTTTATATGTATACTGGACTACTACTTGGCAATGAGAATGAAATCATGCCATTTGCAACAAATGGATGGAACTAGAGGCTATTATGTAAGTGAAATAAGTCAGTCAGAGACAGACAGATATCATATGTTTTCACTCATATATGGAACTTGAGACACTTAACAGAAGACCATGGGAAAAAGGAAGGGGGAAAAAATAGTTACAAACAGAAAGGGAGGGAGGCAAATCACTTGACTCTTAAATACAGAGAACAAACTGAGGGCTGATGGGTAGTGGGGGAGAGGGGAAAATGGGTGATGGGCATGGAGGAGGTCACTTGTTGGATGAGCATTGGGTGTTGTATGTAAGTGATGAACCACGGGAATCTACCCCCCTAACCAAGAGCACCCTATACACACTGTATGTCAATTTGACAATGAATTATATTAATAATAATAATAATAATAAACAAATAGCGTGACAAACCTGTATACAATAGAAATTACTTAGTACAGGGTCTGGCACATGATTACACACTTAAGAAATAGTGCCTGTTGCTAATTATTATTGATGTTATCATTATTGGTTCTCATTTACTGCTTATAGGTCAAGTATGATTCTAAGTGCTTCACCCATGTATATTCCTCACGGTGCCTTAAAGGGAGGCATTATCCCCATTTTTCACATTAGTAAACTCAGGCAAAATTAAAAAAAAAAACATTAACTTTCTCAAGGTCAAGCAGTAAGGCCACATTTGAACCCACATTTCTCTAATGCCAAAGCCTACTCTCATAACCATACATTAGAAAGTTCTTTATTTGGAAACCAAGTATGTCTTCTTGGGATTTCCACCCAGTATTCCCATTTGTCTTCCCAAAGCATCTCAGAATAAGTGCACTCATTTTCCCAAAAACAGCTTTTCATACACTTGAAGACAGATAGAATGTTCCCTACGACTCTGTTGCCAGGCTAAACACACTTCTTTACAAGCTATTTTCACTGAACAAGGCCCTAGAAGTAACAATGAGTAAGAGCTGAAAGCCCATAATAGGTCTAAGAGAAAAATAAAAATAAAATGTTGTTTACCTTTGGAACTAGGCTCTAGAGAGTTTCCCAGCACAAAATCCCAGCGGGCAGGGAGTGAGGGGGTGGGTACCTGTTTTCTACAAAGCCCAGCCCACTCATGCAAACATGGCTCCTTCATTAACTACCTTTGTGGTATTTGGGGCCAATCTAAAATCCTCCAGTCACTTTGTAGAGACTAGAACTTAGAGCAGGAATATTAAATCACCATCTTCCAACATTGTGTCTTTTAAAAATTACCTTTTTATTAGATGCTCTCTGTGCTAAGGTGATGTCAATTGGGCAGATTTTGCCTTTCTTCACAATGGGCTCTTGTCCTGGAAAAGTCACTTGATACACCGGCTGCAATTTTTCCAAACATCTGAAACAGGAGTTCATAAGCTATAGACTGATAAAGCCACAGAAGCCACCTCCTCATCCCCCACTGCAAGCAGGCAGCTGGGTGTGAGCCAATCCCGCAGGTAGTGGTCTGCCCTGGGCTGCACTCAGAATCGCTGACATCACCCATGCCCAAACACATCAGAAACTCCAATATTTTTTAAAGATCCCTAAAGCTTGGCCAAAGTCAAGGCCCTTAGATTCAGGGAAGGGATCATCAGTGACTTGAATCCCTGGAAACCGTCCAGCAGCCCAGCTTTCTGAAAATCTCTCCGGGCTGCCTTGTGGAGTTTACGCCCTGACTCAAGACTCTCCGGCACCCTGTGTGCTAAAAGTGATGCTTCACATTTGTGACATGTTCCAATGAATCTTTGAGAGAATGTCTTTACCACAAAGAGGGTCTACCTTCCATCTTTTGGGATTGACAAACTTTTTCCATGAAGGTCCAGATGGAAATTATCTACGCCTTAAAGGGCCATAGGGTCTGTGCAAACACTCAACTCTGCCATGGTAACATGAAAGCAACCGAAAGGCAATACATAAGCAAATGGGTGTGGCTATGTTCTAAAAAAAGAGGTAGCGGGCCATATCTGGCCCGTGGGCTGTAGTTTGCAAACTCCTGATGTACATAATTTTCAGTTTTGACCTGTGGAACAAGAACAAGGAATACGAATTTTTCTTTTGAAGACTTTAAGGCAATTTTTGCCCTAGCCTTCTTTTTGCTTCTAAATCTTTCTGAAGTTATTTTTAATTCATTGTCCTTCTTTCTCCCTTTTAAGTTCTCTTCTTTATTTTTAAAAAATTTTTAAGGTTTTCTTTTTTGAGAGAGAGAAACACACACACACACACACACACACACACACACACACACACACACAATGTGAGCGGGAGAGGGGCAGAAAGAGAAGAGAGAGAGACACAGACTCCAAAGGAGGCTCCAGGCAAAGCCCGATGTGGTGTGAGATCATGACCTGAGCTGAAGTCAGACGCCTAACTGACTGAGCCACCCAGGCGCCCCTTAAGTTCTCTTCTGTACTGTGTTGGCTCAAATCATTCTAAGGATCTTCCAAAATCACCAAGCCTGTATTTATGCAGACAATTATCAGTTGAATTACGGAGAGAAAAATCAAAGACTAAGACAGTGACAACTCTACAGTCCAATGTGATAGACATTGGGGGTGTGGGGGGAACAATGGAGAGGGACCGCCAATCCTCACTTACCTGGTCAGGAGACTGTCCCATGGAAGCTTCATGACTGTGTGCTGTTCGTTTTTCTCTAAGATGCAGTCACATAGGATGGGATCCAATTTCACAAGACTGAAGGGATAGAAAACGCAATAAAGAAATGCCATTCCCACCCCTACTGACCCGAGGGCCAGCTCAGGATTCAGTCTCTTACATGTCCTTTGTTGTCATCCAGAACCATTAGAGCCAATTCAGGGACCACAGTCCATGAAGCAGTGTACCCTGTGGATGGGACATAAGGAAGGTTTTCCTAGAACAAGGGCACTGCAGATGGTGGAGGGGAGGGTGCCTTGGGATCCTTGGCTCAGTTCTGCTAACTAACCATGATTAGGCGAGTAGTTCCCAACTACTGGACCATGGGGATGTCTTCATTTAGTAGTTTACCTTTTGTATCCACTTACTAAGAAAACAGAGAACACCAAAAAGCCACAAGGACTTCGGTATAATTTTTCTAAGTTTGCATTTTATCCCTCACAACAGCACCTGCCATTTGAAAACCATTAGCAGATATATGTGAGCTGATACGAACTCAGGCTCCAGTCTGAGTAGACCATACAGCTGAGAACACATATGGATCTAAGCACCTAGACAACAACTCAAGGTGTCCACAGCCCCAGGCTCAGAAACTGCTGTTCTAAATGGCTGTGCTCTCCCCCGCTCCCCTCCAGCGCAGACACCCTCCACAGGGGGGTCAAGTGTGTGTCGTCAGGGACTCTCTCCAGCAGAGCCCCACACTCACTCACTTTTTGTTGTCCGCATCAACCAGGTCGTTTTTCTTGACGTAGTTGATGACGATCGTCCGGACCTCACCGCCCTCGAGAACGCTCCCCTTCCTAGGTCAGAAGTGACCAGGGGGTTAGTTTGTGCTGTGCCAGGAGATAAACTGCGGACACCAAGGCTCTCTCTCTGCCGGGCAGGCTGCTTTCCTGGGTTCTCTGATCTCTATTTTCTTCCCTTTCCTGACTGACGTGAGCAGGACCTTGTGCGGCACACTTACAGGTGGAAAAGGGAGAGGCCTACTCTCATTTGTTCAGAGATGCTTCCCAGGGGCAGGAGGCTGGAAGCGGGAGGGGGGGAGGAAGGGAGGACAGGGCGGAGCATGTCTGCCAGTCCCAGAGAACGCTACTCAGCTGGAGAGGATCTACGGCCAGAACAGCAAGCAGGCAGAGGAGGGTCGCTCTCCAAAAACTCACTTGTGGCCAGACTCCTGGAAGAGCAGAGTCATGCTGGCTGGGACACAGTAGAGGGATTTTATATCTGGAGGGTGATAGGGCTGTTCCCTGCTACCCTCCTGGATTGTCTGGGAGGCCGGGGAGGGCTCAGCTATGACGAAAGATGTGATCCTAAAACCCGGCAGAAGGAAAGAAAAAACACATTTTATACTAGCATGTCGGCAAAACCCTGTCCGGGGCCCTGGTGCCCCGGGCCAGCTGAGCTCCGGTGACCGGGCCTCCCGCACTCACCTCTCGTGCTTCCAGTCCACAGCCACGATGCTCTCCACCCCTTTGCTCAGCTCCTTCACCTGGATAATCTGCTCCTGCTGCATGTGCTGCAGGAACTTAGAGAGCTGAGGGAGAAAGGGCCGGCACTAGGGACTCCACCGACGGCACACACACCTGAGCGCCTGATGTGCCACATGCAGAGCCTGGCCCGTCCTTGCGTGGGACACATGACAGTCCCTGCCCTCATCAAACCAGGAACTGGGAGGCCTCTACCCTGAGGCTCAGGGAGTGAGAAACTGCTACAGACTTACTGTTGAAACATTTCAGAACTCTGGTCAGAGATAAAGGGGTGGAAGGGACAGAGGGGAGTGGGTGACCACCCAACTGCCTCAGCCCAGGGAGAGTTTCTTTCCCCTCTGATACCAGGAGTCAAAAAGTTTAATCCCAGCCTGAGCGCTACAGACAGGGCTTCCCCAGTGTCCATCCAGCTCATGGCACGGCTGCTCCTACGTGACCCTCTGTGTGGGAATGCAGAGAAGGGACCTGCTTACCTTTTTGTAGCTGGACTTCTTCATGTCCAGCTGTCGTCCTTCAGGGCTGGTGACAGATGAAAAGGCAAGTTAAGCTAGCAGAGCAGCCGTGGTGGGAGCTGCCCGGTCCTGACAGGCGCACATTGTTCCTCAGTCTTTCCCCTCCACGTTCACGTAGTAGCCGCTGTTCCAGACCCCTCTGCCCAGTGGTGGCATCAGAGAGGGATACCGACCTCAGCACAATCTAGATCACTGCGGTCCATCAGACCTTTCTGTAAATATGGAGTGTTCTCTGTCTGTCTACCCACTATGGTAGCCACTAGCCGCATGTGGCTATTAAGTGCTTGAAATGCAACTCATGGGACTGAGGAACTAAATTCTAAAATGTTATTTAATTTAAATTAGTTTCAATTTAAATAGCCACATGTGGCAGGTGGTCACTGTACTGGATTTGGCTTGAGACTTCCCTCAAACTAGACCCCTTTCTGTGACTCCAAAGTTTCACCTCAAGGTGAACCTTTCCAACACTAAGCTCACTGAGGTGGCTGGCCAAAGGCAGGATTTGGCAAACTACGCACTGTAGGCCGTACGTGGCCACATCCCTTCACTACTGTCGCTGAAATGGTAGAGCCGAGTAGATGCAAAAAAGACTGTACGGTGTGCAAAGTATGAAAGATTTATTACCTGGCTCTTTATAGAAAGAGTTTGGTACCCCTACCCTACAGCTGTTAATTTGGGGAAGGGGATTCTGGGAAAATCATAATCAGTCCCTGTTCTCAGAACTTCCATCCTTCTCAAAATGTAACAAGCAATAGCAGTGGGATATACACAGAGCCCTTCTAGAATCCCCTTCCCCCGCCTCCGGCCCAGGTTAAGAACCTCTATTCTAGAGAAGATTCTAGGACCTCTTTCCCCTTTACTTATAACTCAGCAAGGTTAGAACAAATTACCAAGTTTCCTGCCACATGCTTTGATCCCACACTCGTATGGGAAGCCTTAAGGAAGCACACAGGTAAACAGGAAGACAATCACATTAAAACCACACTTTAAAAAACACAGTAAGTTCTCAAGACAGAAAAGTTGAGTTTCAGTGTAAACATCAATCAGCAAACCATCTGATATGATATTTACCAGTGCTTATTAAATGTCAGGCTATTTAACCTTGACAACAATCTTACAAGCACTGAAAATGAGGGTTCAAAGAAGCCTCATAACAAGTTCAAATGCACCTTGTTCCAAAACCCTGGGAGCTGGCATTGAGGCCCAAGTGGCTGTTTTCAAAGCTCAGGTTCTCTCCACATGTGATAGTGCCTCTCCCGGTGGCCTATGTTCAGGATCGGGGGCGGCGGGGGCTCACACGTATTCTTCCTCCTAACACAACATACCCAGGCCCACCTACTTTGAAAGTAACCTGTGAAGGGGTTGAACATTCCAGACGAAGCCTCCTGACAGAGAGGCTGCCCTGGAACTCTTCCCAAATAGGACAGGCTGCCTGACTCATGAGACGGCCCGGAATCACCACATCTGAAGCAATGCTCGGAGAATCCGGGGAATTTTAACCTGAATCCACATCGTTTTGCTGGCTAAAGTTGAAGTTTTTAAAAGTCTGGACCAAATTTATCTGCCAGATCAACCGTCCACTCCACTCTCTCCACAGCATGTCCCTCAACCAATTCTCCTGTCAGCCCTGTCCTGACACACCACCCAGGGACAAGGGACAAGAGAGAGCCCCTAGCCCCGGCCTCCAGCCCACACCACGCCTTCCGTACCAGCAGGACAACATGTGGCTGCCAAGGAACGTGCTGGTGAGTAAAGGGAGGTCAGCTTTTCTGACTTGGCATTTTAAAGCATGCAAAAAGCATCGCTGTACCAGTTCATCCATTTGCTCTGCAACGAAAAGACAAGAGCCCCGGTTTTCTGACGGTTACAGAATGCCTGGTGCAGGACAGTCCCCGCCCATCCCCACCCCTGCCTCACCCCCTTAGCCCTGGAAGGAACCCATCCTGGGCACCAAAGCTCCCAGACTCTCTTGAGCACTGAGCCTTTAAAGAGGACAGACCCTGGAGAAGAGGTCCAGCCACAAGGTCCCACCGGCCAGAAACAAGTGCTTCTCTGACAGAGAAGTCAGAGCCTGAAGAAACTGTGGAGGCCTCTGGGGCTAGAAACAGTCCAAATGCCAGGACAGACTGGCACCAGGGAAACACGACTCATGTGGAAGAGACTCCAGGGCAGATGCCAAAGGCCTGCTGCACCACCCTCACCCAAAACAAGGACTTTCTGTTCCCCTAGAGCTACTCTAGTCAGAAGCGGAGCAAAGCTCGTTCCCTAAACTGACAGGAGGCAGGTCCTTCAACTCCCAGCACTATACCTTGAAGGGTCTTGCTGTCTGTGGGCTCTGGGTTCAGGCCCCTGATGCTGGGGTCTTCCGAGGCTTCTGACAGGGCCTTCTCCCCGCACATCTGCTGAACCTCCCCATTCTCCTCTTCCTCTCCCTCCAAGGTCAGGCGCCTCAGGTCTCCCTGCAGGGCGGGGTCTTCCTGGACAGACCCCTTCTCTTCACTGAGATCTGGGGGATCCAGGGCCAGCGGAGCAAGGGAAGGTGGAGAAGACTTGTCTCCAGATCGCCTGGAAAAATTGCATGTCAGAAACGCCAGGCAGCAGCCACGACATTCTCCAATCCTGCTCAGGGTCAGCTGGGAGTCCAGAGAGAGCAGGAGTCATGGCGGTGGTGGCCAGGGGAGAGCAGAGTCTGAGCACCCATCTAAACTCTATTTCGTGGCACCTGGGGGGCTCCGTTGGTTGAGCATCCGACTCTTAATTTTGGCTCAGTTCATGATCCCAGGGTTATGGGATTGAGTCCTGTGTCAGACTCCACCTGAGCAAGGAGCCTGCTTATGATTCTCTGTCTCTCCCTCTCCCCCTTTCCCCAACTTGCGTCCTCAGATGTCTGCTGGCACACAGGCCAACAAGGGTGTACCTGCAGCACAGCAGGCTTCGGCCATTGCTAATCACATGAGGGGCTCCGACATGGGGCTGAATTTGTAAAGATGTGTCTATAGCAACAGGCCACATCACCCGGCCAAAAGACCAGGTAGAGAGCTTTTGAGAAAAGTACTGTTTTGCTTAAAATGATAAGAAAATGACCAGAAATAAACTGGCACATGGCTTGAGAAAGCAAGTGTTACAGTGAGAAAACATAACTTCCATGATCGGGTGGAGATTGGAAATGGGGAACTTGAACAACAAAAAGTATCAGGTCGTGACTGTGGTGCCTGAGGGTCTACTCTGCTTTGATCTGGATTCAGAAGTGAGAACTTCTGGGAACTCGCCAGGGGGCAAGAAGATGTCTAAATGTGTGCGGCAGATAAAACCACACTGACTGGACCCATATAAAAAAAGAACATCCCTGTACTGAAAGGCAGGGCAGACAGTCCGTAAGGCCTTCTTCTAGGCCCAGGATTCTAGAATTCACCTAGAAAATAATCAGAGTTCTCTGTAATTTTTCTCCAAAGAACAAAAAACATTATACCAATCCATCCATTCATCCTTCTCTCTATCCATCTATCCGTCGATCCATCCTTCTCTCCATTCATCCATCCATCCATCCACCCACCCACCCACCCAACCATCCATTTTTTTCTCCACAATAGCAAAGAAATTAAAGTCAGGAATCAGCAACTTGCCAAAGATCACGGCACAGACCCAGGCTCTCATTTGTGAATGCAGGCCCCGTGCTCTCTCCCCATGCCAGCCATCTCTGCAACACAAGGAACACAGAACCCACCACAAGTGGTCCTGATAGGTGTGGAGCACAGAGAAGCCCCTGCCCTTCAAGCCTGAAGCGAGCATCTCGGCTGTGGCCATGGCAGCAACTCCAACGGCGACGGGGGCTCTGAGAAGGAGGAAGCCAAACACACACGTCAGGGATAGCCTCGCAGGAGGGAGCACATCAGGACCATCTCTCCACACACGTGCTAACATCACACTTGCAAATTTGGGGCAGGCACCTGCATCACAGGAGTAAACTCAGTCAGGGCTCAGTGTTCTTCAGATTACCTGCAAATAGGACTTTAAAAAAGCCCTTGACCACCATGCACCTTCTGTCTAAGTACCTACTCTGCTGACATTCCCATTGTTAGTTTTATTCCTATTATTAATTAAACCCAGGCAGGACTTGCAAGGATATTTAAAGTTCCCTTATTATGATCTCACAGTTATGAGATCAAAGCCCATGTAGGGCTCTGCGCTGTGTATGGAGCCTCCTTAGCTTCTCGCTCCCTTCCAAAAAGAAAATTCCCTTTATTTAATTCCAAAAATATAAATTACCTCCCTTACCTTAAAGGCATAGCCATCCTATGCAGAGACTGAAAAGGAAGGCCATTCGCATGCCATAAATAGGGTGAGGGAGGCCACAAAGAAGAGAGAAGAAAGAAATAGGGGCACTAACCAGAGAGGTTCCTTCTAAGTGGCCTCTGTATCATAAGACTCACTCCATGTAACTAACTATGGAAGAACTGAGTGTGTCCAGAATAGCAAACACAATCATGTTCACAGTAACTCCATAAACTTCCAAAGCACAAGTGGGAAACGTGTGCCAGCCCAGGGCCCCCAAGCATTGCCCACACACTGTCTGTAAGGTCCGCTGCCTGCCTGGGTCACAGTGGGGGAAAGGACAAGCCTGGCCAAGGTTGCCTGGGCGCAAGGGAGGAGATTCAAGGGCAGAGTTCCCAACACTTGAACTTTAGAAAAATGTTCACTAAGCTGGTGGTTCCACTTACTGTGCCCACAGGCCAATCAATTCCTGCCACAGAAACTGAAGCTGGCTTCTCTCTCAGTTCCAAAAAGACGGATCTTTTTCTTCTACCTCTGGAAGGGCCACTGGCTCAAAACGTCATTCTCAAACCTGCTTTGTATGTTTCATAAACCCCCCTTGTACCCTTATCTTCTGCCACAGACCATCTAATGCTTCATCCCCACAGACATTCTAAAGGCCCAGCCGAGCAGACCAAATACACATTTCTGCAGTTTTCTCCCATCTTGGATACAATCCCGGGGAAAACCAGTGACACCACCTTCCTTTTCAACTGAAAGTTGTGCGACAGGCAAACAAGGAAGGAAATCTTTCCTGGCGCTTGGTTCCAAAAAGTTCAAGGAAAACAGGAGAACATGAGTAGCAACACTAAGGTCTTTCAACACCGACCCCTCCCGTGCCTACAATCTCTCTCTCTTTCTCTCTCAAAGAAGCAATGAGCAAAATAATGAGGTCTCATGTTTCACTCCGGATGACACAGGAAGAACAACGGATCGTATCCAGTGCTGGTGGGAGTGGGAAGACAGGCTCTCCCTACAGGCGTCAGTAAGATACTGTTTGTGATGAAGACACACCGGAGGCAGCCACAGGTCCACTCGGAGAGGACCTCTTCCATCACCACACAGCAGCTAAGAAGACTCAGCACCCTGAGCTTGCTCACATGGAAAAATGTCCCCAAAATCTTAACTGAAAAAGCAATACAGATAAAGTATAATTCCACTTGGTTGTATTTTTAACCATAGACACCATATTTGTACACTTGAATATACACTCATATACATGGATTCAGGAAGGCTGGGAAGGTTGGATGCATCAATAATATCGTTACTTCTAGGAGAAAAGGTTTGTAAGGTGAGGGGGCTTTTGAATTTTCACAACTGTTCATATGAATACTTCCTAATATATTTTTAAAAAGAAGCCCTGTGGTGATGGCTGAACGACTGTAAAATTTCACTACAAATCACTGAATTATACATTTGGAACTGGTGAATGTTACACTATGTAAACTATATCTCAATATAGCCTTTAAGTTAATTAGGGGCGTCCTGGTGACTCAGTCATTAAGCTATCGACTCTGGGTTTCAGCTCAGGTCATGTCTCAGGGAAATGGGATCAAGCCCCATGTTGGGCTACATACTGATAACATAGAGCCTGTTTGGGATTCACTCACTCTCAATATCTCTCTCTCTCTCCCTCTCTCCTTAACCCTCCTCCATCACGTTATCTCTCTCAAAAATAAATGATTAAACAAAAAGAATTAAAAGAGAGGATGATGACATGGATGATGGGGAAAAGATGTTAAGACAATGAAAGAAACAGAGAACAAGAAAATGTCACAGACAGGTGTGGTAGGGTCCCCTCCTAAGGAGAGGGAAAAAAAAAAAAAAAAAAACCTTCAAGGTAACCTGACTATACGCCTACATGACAATATCCCTCATGAGACTACTTAATCAGACTACATAGTTGTGTGCGTTACCATATACAAGAGACAAAGAAATAGAAAATGTGTAAGAAACTATGCCACAGGATGCTCGGGGCTCAATTCTTTGGGCACGATCCCACCTGAGCGGTGCTGGCAAGAATAAAGTTGCTTCCTGGAAAGAAAAGCCTTGGTGTCACGACTCTGTGTGTGAGAATCCTGCTACGTTACTTGGGGGATCATCCGGGATTTGGAAGTGGTGCGTTTCCACCTCCTTGGCCAGCGGGGATATGAAACTTGGGGTGCTGGAAGAGGCAGCCCCACCTGGCACCAGTGGACTGCTTGATCCACAGGAGACAGGCCCTCCCAGCACACCAAGGCGAGGACCCCATGCACACCAAAGGAACAAGTAAGGCCCAGGAACCAGCTCCGGGGGCACAGCCTGTCAGACTGGTAAGAACCCAGGTTTGCTTTGGGCAGCAGGGGAGCCTGAGCACCTGCCAACGTTGCCCTAGTAGTTCCACAAGCGACGAGGAATGAAGCTGCAACTGCACGGTGTTGGGCACTGGGCGGCAGGCTGGAGTCGCCGTGGGGCTGTGTGGGGACTTGTCTCCTGTTCATTTCCTGGGTCAGTGACTATGATAATCAGAGCCAACTGTCCCTGGTTATTCTACGTCAGAATGGGGACTTTAAGCAATATTCCCAAGCAGCTGCTGAAACTCCTTTTGTTTTTCCTTTTGTTTTGGGGAAATTCCCTGTCTTCTCCCTAACTGAATGGACTGCCTGATTCCACTAAGTGGAAAACAAAACAAAAGAAACCTGGAGTCTGCTCCTCTGTCTGAGCTGACAAGATTTTACACTGGGAATCCTCTTTCTCTGCCTTCGCTCATACTTCTCCTCTTCTGCTTTCCCTTCCCCCCTCCTTTTCTGCACCACCTGGGGGGCCACCTGTACCACTGGCTCCTCAATGCCTCAGGCGCCATCAGCTCCTCCTCCCACCCCAGAGGTCGTGGAATGAAGACCACACACTTCAGATTTCCCCACTGGAGCCCCAGGTAAAAAGTGACAATGGGGAACAAACTGAATAACTCTTAAATGGACACAGATGGAACATATTTGGTATTTAAAAGGATACCAACAAAGTTGGCATACCAAAGTTTGTTGGTTTAAAACAGACATGTCTTCAGAGTTATCAGCATTAAATACATAAACCGTTTTTCTACCTAAGGATTTCTAAAGGTCAAATAAGCTCTTGTTATCTCTGTTGCACTTTGTCAGCAAAAAAGTGACTTAAAATGAAGGTTAATTTTTAGTTTTCATGGGTAATTGTTAAGAGAGTTTTCAAAGTCTTTGGAAACCTAAAACATTAAAGTTTTTCTTGCATGATAAACTGAGCTTGAATTCATTGGATATTGAACAAGATAAGAGGCTAAGGCACTAATTACTAGATATAGGTTTGTGCTTCTGAAAAACTAAAGATCCTTGGATCTATGCGAAAACATGCTCTATACTGAATGGATTCACAAATTTCCCATCTAAAAAAATTTCTCATGTGACATAAAGTACACAGTTGGTTACTACTTAGTTTTCACTGGAGACTAAGGTTTCTTTTTTCTTTTCTTTTTTTTTTTTTTTTACAAATAGTTTATTGTCAAATTAGTTTCCACATAACACCCAGTGCTCATCCCCACAAGTGCCCACCTCCATGCCCATCCCGCCTCCCCCCCAAGACTAAAATTTCTAAGAGTTAAAATTCTGCTAAACGTAGTTAAAACTGATAAAAATTAGAAAAGCAACTCTGTATGTATTAAAGTAGGAAATATGAAAGAAAGATAGAAGAAATGGAAATATGTTTATGTTGAAGGTCAAAAAAAAGTAGTTTTGCTCTGAATGAGGCTGGTTATTTGGAGAGAAACGTCTTGGGACAAAATCTAAATGCAAAGAAAGGTTGTACAAAGTTAGCGAAGAAAATCTTTAAAAAGAAATTTTATGTGTGGTCAGGATGGACTAAGGTTAAAATAAATGGAATTTAAAAGCTCACTGGGTTAGGATGAAAATTCCTCCTCCTCTGATCCTAAGGCTGGGAAAATGACGGCGATGCCCTTGGTGCCGGCCTCCATATTGTCCACATGTGTGTTGTTCCTGTTTAGCAGAGGATAGTTCTGCAAGTAGTGGCAGCCTGTGAAATCAACCACCAACTCCTCTCCCAGACAGTCAAGAAACTGGGGGCTATCCAGAAAGGACTGACGATTAGGTTTCAATACTTTTACTAATTGTAAAGCCCTTTCCCTACAAGACAGAAAAGCACAAAACAAAATAAAAATTCTGCTTTATAAAATAATACCCATGTTTGGCTTACCTAAAAATTTACAAACTAATAATGGTAAATGGCTGGCTTGACTCTTTCTCTAGTAGAACTCCTGGCTCTTGGAAGTTTTGCACCCTCAAAATAAGCAAACAGTCTGCTTATACTCAGCAACTCTAAATAACACGTCACAAGCGTTAGATGCTTAAAAAAAATTTTTTTTTTAACAAGTTAGAGTCAAACTCTTAAAAAAAGAGCCACCAACAATCACTTAATGCTCTTGCTCCTCCATCACCTGGGTTATGAGAGATTCCCTGACATATGTTGTTTAAAACATCAGGGTCTCTCCTAGATTGTTTGACAGGTTTGGAAACTGTAGACATCATCGTAAGATGCTATCTTGTCCGTCAGTATAATCTTTACCTTGTGTTTTTCTGTGTGTCTGCTAATATTTATGCCGCCTCACACCTCCCAGCCTTCTGGAAAACCACACTGTGGGCCACTCGACAGACCCTTGGGTAGACTCTAACTGCTATACCCCTACACCATCCCTTTTCAGCTTCAAAAGCCAGAGCGGTCATTGTCCCTCTTCCCTAACAGCAGTTACAGGCCCTATTCCAGGGGAGGAATGAATAGGGAAAGGGGTAACAGGCAGGGAGAGATAAGGGACCTTCAGGGAGGCAGACTGCAGCTGCAAGTGGGATGCTGAAGATACAGATGGGGTTCTCTCCTCATAAAATCCTTAATGGACACCCTCCCCTCATTATCAAGGGCCTAAGGGGAGATCTAAATGAGAGATAATCTAACCCTAAGACAAAAGATGTAGGCCCTTGGCTTTACTGTAACCACCTACACCACTGGGTCAGGAAGTGATTACCTGTGAATCTGACCACTGACATTCACCCCTTTAAGCCAGGAGATGCAATATGAATAAAAGAGTGAAATGTCCAACCCCTAAAACCCTTCTGGAGGGGCCCATTCACTGTCATTCTGTCCACTCCTATTACAATAACAGTAGCTAAAGTGGGTCCCTGGATTCACTGCCGCAGAGTAAAGCTGGCATCTCGAAACTGGGAGTGCCTTCCTGATCCGTCAACCCCATGCAGGCTGACCATGTGGAAGAAGCAATCTGCAACTCCAGAGGCTCTGGGAGACTGCAGCCCGGCCTGAGTCACTCCGGAAGCTGCCTAGTCTACTCATAGCGAAGGCTTGAGGAATCGGCAGTCCAGTGAAACAAAAGACTGTCCTTATTTTCCATCTCTGTTTCTTTACTGTGATGCACTATCACACCTTGTTTCTCACTATTTACTACAATTCTTGCTCTACTCTGTGCCATAGGATTGGCCGAGGCCACCCTGGCCTGCTAGAAACGTGGAGAGAGGTTTCTGTTAACACTCACCTTCCTTTTGTGGACAAGATACTTCCTTGGTACCAACATGGGGAAGCAATGGCCATGAGAGGCTAGAAAATTAGATCCCCACAAACCTTATAGTAAAACGAAATAACCCAGTCCTACTACTAGGGTTTGGTTTCTCAAAAGCTCAATTACTAGGAAAGCTGTCTTGCCTAGTGGGGAAAACATTCATCACCATCTCTGTTAATAACTTAACATGTCTAGGCCAAAGATTTTATAACTCAACTGCCCAGGAAACCCAATGTTGGGGGACCCCAGATCACCTTAAGCCAGATCCCCACCCCTTAGCCAATTTCTCTCATCTTCAAGAGGCCTGAGACTATGTCCACGCAGCCATCAAATGACAGGCCCCAGGTGGACTCTGCTAGCTATGCAAAGGGACAGCCTACATGGTACTTCCCTCAGGCTGGTCAGGGTCATAGGTGCTGGAAACGATTTGTCCATCTTTCTTCCTGATCCCACCTGCCAGAGGGAAACATTGGGAGTCCAAGTGTATGGGGACAGGGAGATTAAAAGGAAGCAGGGTGCCTTACAAACTGGCAATTAAAAAGATGATAAATGGCCTCCCAAGCGTATACTCCAATATCATGGCCCTGCCACCTGGGCGGAAGAAGAGTCCTGGGGCTACCACACTCCCGTTTACATGCGAAACCTCATAATCAGACTGCAAGCAGTTGTAGGAATTACAACCAATAAACCTGCCAGAGCTCTTAACTCACCGACCAAGCAGCAACCCAAAACGCACAACGCCGTCTATCAAAATCGCTTGGCCTTATATTACCTGCTGGCTTCTGTGGGAGCTGTTTTTGTGAACATTTTAACCTGAACAACTGCTGCCGACAGATAGATGATGAGGGGAAAGACCTAGAGGAGATCACAGGCCAAATGAGAAAGGCTGTTCATGTCCCAGTCCAGACCTGGAACGGCTGGGACCTCGGAGAGATATCTGGGGGATGGTCTTCAGCTCTCAGAGGGTTCAAAACCCTCAGGGGAATTGTCCTCCTAATTTTGGGAGGGCTTAATCATACCCTGCCTACTCCCCTGGTTGTACGGTCTGTCTGCAGTCTCACTGAGGCCATGGGTTAAAAAGGACGGCCACTCATGTAATACTGTTATAAAATATAAACCTCTAAACCAAGATGATGCTCTTTGACAAAAAAAGAGACGGGTCCAAGCATCACAGGGGTAATTTACTAGGGTCCCCTCCCGGTGGAGAGAAAAAAAGAAAGAAAAAACCCTCTGAGCTGTCAACACAGAGCTCGACACAGGGCTCGAACTCACAGACCAGGAGATCATAACTTGAGCCGAAATCAGACACTTACTGACTGAGCCACGCAGGGGCCCCTAGACTGGATTCTTGAAGGCAAGACATTTCATGGAAAAACTGGGGGAATATGAATAAAGTCTACAAACTGTATTAATAGGACTGTGCCAATGTTAATTCCTCAGTATTGATAGTATTGATTGCAACTCTTCTGTAAATGTACAATTACTTAAAAAAAAAAAAAAAAAAAAAGCAGCAGCACATACACCTGGCCCAGACATGTAGACACCCCCACAGGCTCACTGCCGTGCCCACAGCGGCCCACCTCAGAAGAAGCTGCTTTTTCTTCCTTTACTCCTTTATGACAGCTTTGGAAGTTGTCATTTCCCAAACACCTCCCCGGTTTTACCAAAGATTTTCCACCAAAGAACAGCGGGCTGGCACAGTACCTGTTCCCCAGCAAGGCAATGGCACAGAGGTCACCCTTCTGTACCTGAGGCAGACCAGCAGGGGGCACCACGAGACCCGGCAGCATCAAATCTGCAGCAAGCAAAACAAAGGCATCACAACCTATATTTTGCCTCTGATTTCAAGTTCTACTTCATCATTTATTCATTCGCTCAACTACAAACCTTTATCGAGTATCAGCTAGGTCATTCATAATGAAAATTAAAAGATGGCAACCTGAGTATCAGACCATTTCCCTTGAGGGACTAGTGGTCAACCCGAAGCACCGAGTCCAGTTCCATGATTTATTTTATTCTGGTTTCCTGAATTTAGCTTATTGATTTAATGTACAGTATATGGAAGCTCACAAACTATTTTCTTATTGATGTACAAAGTCCAAAGCTGACTGCGGCCTTTCAATGGGGTCATAGAGGGACCTATGGAAGCAGCCAGGTAAGAGATGAAACACACATGGGGAAAATTCCATTGTTCAACCGTATGAACACGGGAAATGGTACATTTATTAGAATAGTCAGTCCTTACTAAGCAGGTTTCAGTCAATAGCCAGAATAGAGGGAAATCCTCGTACCTGCTCCCCCCACCAGTTTTTCGAGCACCGGAGGCCACGTTGTGAACACTGGGAGGAGGTCAGGACAGGACCACAAGGTGTACACTGCGCAAAAAGAGACATGAAGTTATTGTCATAAAGTCAATTCTCTGGGGAACTCGCAGAGCCAAACACCAAGGTCACTTTATTTCACGGACAGTAAAGGAACTTACCTGAAAGCTAAAGAACAGGTTGTGAGACCCAAAGAGGTTTCACTGTTGTTGTTTTGTTAAATTTAAATTAATTTATTTAAATTCATGTTAGTTAATGCTTAGTGTTGATTTCAAGGGGTTTCATTCTTACAGAAGGCAGATTCTTAAACACCTGATGTCCCGAGACTGAGAGGCCCCTATTATTCCACCTGATTGTAGACACAGAAATGGGCACAGCAGGTAAAAGCAGAGACAAAGACCCAAGGAGGATTCCATTTGTGACCTCAGAAGCAAGTAGGCTAAGAACAGGGCGTCAGCCTATAAACACTATTGAAATCTCTCCATGTTTATTATTTGTATTCCCTCTGTTTTCATAGTGAGTAGTGGTAAAACCCTTACATCAAAAAGCGCCTGTGTCTGCACAGCAACAAAGTGGGGAGGGGGCAGGAGGGGTCTACGGAGACAACCCTATGCTGCTGCCACCCAGCTGAGGGCAAGAAAGGCCCCATGTGACAAAGCAGGTGTCAGCAGCGACAGGACACGGATGCTGGGTGACTGAGATGTGTGACAAGGAGAGAAAGCAAAGGATGCTGGGAGCCAGACAGGGCCTAAGAGAATCCATGTGAGGCATCTGCATGGAGGTCATCACTAAGACAGTGGAGTTCGTTTCATTAACCCTGCTAGTCATGTTTTTTTTTATTTTGTTTTTAATGTTTTTTATTTATTTCTAGGAGAGAGAGAGAGAGAGACAGTGTGAGCAGGGGAGGGTCAGAAAGAGAGGGAGTCACAGACTCAGAAACAGGCTCCAGGCTCTGAGCTGGCAGTCAGCACAGAGCCTGACGCGGGGCTCGAACCCACGAACCGCGAGATCATGACCTAAGCGAAAGTCGGACGCTTAACCAACTAAGCCACCCAGGCGCCCCATTATTATATTCTAAAATTTTTGAACCAAGTTTGTTTGCCTGTATTTGAAATATTTTTCCTCTAGAAATAATGTTCGAATGCTGAATTACTTCACAGACTAACCCGTGTTCCATAACGCTCAAATACACAGTACACCTCCCTCCCCCCACACACATCCACATTCTTTCAAATGTAAGGCACCATGATGTAGCGAATTCTTTGGTTAACGGGGCATGGTAATAACCCACCAGCAGCGCTTATGGGCTAAATTAGTGGCCTTAAAAAAAACTGCTCAATTTCTATTAATTTCATCTTACTCATTTGAATATAAAAATAATTATAACTCCCTCATAGGGTGATTGGCTGTGAGCATGAAGTAAACAAATGTTCTTTTTACCTTGCAACGCCCTGCAAAATGTTGGTTATTAATGTATTCTAGGGCTCTATGGTCCAGCTACTCTTGAGATTAAATCGCCTTTATAAACAATGTGGGAAACAAATGCTATTTAAAATGTCTCTACAGAGGAAAAGTGCATTGTATGTCAAGATAAGCTGCAGTAGGAGTGAAAATAATGCCCCCCAGCCTGGTGTTGCTAGCCAGCCATCTGGCCAACAGAAATATTTCTTCACCGCCTCCCCTCCCTTTCCCAGCTGTAGTGATCACTGTTTCCCAGAAAGCAATGCCTGGCTGTTCTCACTCCTCTGGTGGGCCTTTGTCCTGTGTTTACCATATTATCCTCTTTGTTTTCATAACTGCCATGAAAGTTTCCTAACTTCCTATACTCTAGTTATTTTATGCAAATGAGACTTCTTTCTTCTGTTAGGTTCTAAACCCTTGGGAGGCAAGACTCCCCTTTGCCTCTGTAGATCAGAGTGCCCCCACACAACTCGAGACACAAAATTGGTGCATGGCAAATGCCAAGTGGAGAACAGGAGGGCATTTTCCAGGGGACGAGAATACTATTGTAAAGCCAGAAGGTGAAATGGCCTTGTAGCCTTTAGTGAGTACTACCTAGATTATAATGACCACATTGACAAGGAAGGAAAGGCAGAAAGATCCAAATCACAGGAGGAGTGGTAATAATTGTATAAAAATATTTATAAGCAATTATCAAGTCTGAAGACACTTGAGAAGCTAGACACTTGATAAAATTTTTTAATAAGAATAGTTTCTCAAGGAACAAAGAAGGTCTATATATCAGAAGCTTAGAAAAAGAAAAATTTTTTTAATTATATTTTAACGTTTATTTATTTTTGAGAGAGAGAGAGAGAGAGAGAGCACAAACGGTGAAGGTACAGAAAGAGAAAGAAAGACAGAATCCCAGGCAGGCTCCAGGCTCTGAGCTGTCAGCACAGAGNCCACCCTAGCCACTGGGGTCCCCGCCCTGACTGGACCCCTCGGCCTCCACCCCAGGTCGGCTGACCTCGCCCAGAGAGAGCTGTGGGCCAGCCGGGAGTGGGAAAGGCCGGGGGCCCTGGTGGGCGGTCAGGCCCCTTCTCTCCCTCACCTGTCCGACCCCTTGATGGCCGTGTTGGACTTGACCCGAAAGGCCTTGGCAAACATGTCTGCTGGCGTGGCGTGGGGAAGACCAGCAGAGCACAGAAGCCAGGGGCTGTCAGGAACGCGAGGACGCGGCACCGTCCCCACCCGCCGCGCCGGGGGCAGCCATGCTGGGGCCCGTCTGGGAAAGACGCCCGGCTGGAAACCCGGGCCGCGCAGCTACGCGCCTCTGGCCTCCGCGGAGTCCGCGCCGCCCCTAGGGAGACGTCCCGGAACTGAAGCAGGGAGGGCGGGGCCCGGGGGGGGCGGGGCCGCCTCATGCCCGGTCCCGCGTCTGCGCCTGCGCCAGCGGCTGGCTGCTTCAGGCCTCCAGGGATCCAGCGGTGGGTGCACGGGCTGTGTTCGTTTCCTCTCAGTAGGCGTTAGGGCGTCTTGAGTTCCTTTTGATTCAATTCAGCCCCACAAAATTATTTGACCTTTGTGTTCTATTCGTTTGTATCCCTCTAGAATGGTTTTCTCAAGGGATTTTGTGTGAAAGTCCTTCCGTTTTATTGCACGCTAGAAGTCTCCGGATTTTCTTTTTTTTAAATTTAGCTGGAGTGATTAACAATAACGGGGAATCTGCCCGAGTCCCAGGTTTGCCCATCATCTTATGAGCAAAAATCTACAGACCATCTTCAAATCGATTTAAAAATATTTTTGACCACCTGTAGGTAACTTTTGCAAAGCGTTATTGCATTTTGCATTCAGGTGTTATTTGGGAAAGGGAGGTGTTTCCAAAACTAATTAAATAAACTCACGTTGCCTGTTAAAAAAAAAAGTGTGAGCTGGATTAGAATCAGGTTTTGGTTTGTCGTCTCCCTAGCAATGGGCCAATGGCTTATTCTTTCTAAAACTCTTGCATTCTCTGAAAGATGTGGATGTAGCACCTACATCATAGGGTTTCCATGAGAAAAGATTGAGGTGGTTGTGTGATATGTTACACAGTGTTTTGCAAATTTCCAGTTATATTTTTCAAAACTCTTCAACAGGTGTGAAATATTGGGTTTCCCTGAGAGGGACCGCTGTGTGCCCTGGAGGCATGGATTTAAAGATTTGGGGTTTTGGCTCCCACAAAATTAAATTTTGCATATGAAAGCTTCAGGGCAGAGTATCCATGGAGAAAAACAATACTAAGTGCTTGTTCGCTGACACAGTTACACAAAGGAGGATTCCACAGTGGCTGTCCTAAGATTAGGTCTTCCAGTGTCTGCCCGCCACCAGGATTCTTAGAAGGGCCCCTAATGTGCCCTGGCGGCCACCCAAACTTGGGCTCCTCCTACACTTCTGACCTACAAGGAACTTGATTCTGAAGCACCCCAGCCGCAAGGCCAAAGTTGGAGACGGACAGTGCCAGAGAGCCTTCTCTTTTCCCTCCCGAAGCAGGCACCCTAGGGGATGTGTGATGCCAGACTGCGCTGTTGTCCAGTGTCTCCTGTGGCCCAGCTACTGAGGCAGCCACTGTGCAGGGAGCTGAGGAAGGCTTCAAGGGAGTATTAGAATAATAAATACGAAAACAGCAAGATACAGATAAATCTGTAAAATAACCTCCCTTCTATATATTAAAAAAAGGTTAATAAACACTGGATGTTTGAAACTAATAAAAATATAACTTAGAGGAAACATAAAAGATGGAAAAAGACTACTCTTCATAGACCCTTGTCACATTACTTTGACTTTTGAAACATGAAGCCGTTTTTCATATTTAAAAATTTTAGCTTCTTAGAGAAGAAGCATAATCTAAAAACAAAATATGAATGCTTATAAATGTAAAACTCTATTAAGTTGGTAAGTAAGCCAATCAGTAATCAGGATTATTTCAATTCATTTCTGAAGAGAGCAATTACACTCAGAGTTGAACATTCTGGGAAAAAATAAATGCAAAGACATTGTTACCTTCATTTGGTAGTTTGCCTGCTAGTAGTAATATATCCATTACACTTTTTATATTATTTTCACCAATATTGAGATATTAGAATATATGAGTAGAGAGAAAAGACAACAAACGTATTAAAAAGTTTTTTTCACCCTGTATTATTACACTTGAATTTCAAGATCCAATAGAAGCAAATGAATTTTACACTTCATTTCTATTTCAGGTTTCTGACACCTAAAAAGACAAAGAATTTCCAGTGTTGAACACTATAGTTCTAAACACTATTTCCCAGTAAAAAGAATCAGACATTTTTGGAAAGGTGTATGCTTCACAGGTACTGACCAGGGAAGTATACAGCAAGCCTGGAACATCATGTTGTGCTAAAAAGAAAAGAAATGCTCAGTGAATGATTGGGTACAAAAAGCAATCAGGAGCTGGTTTCAAAAGACTCTCACTAGTCAAATTTGGGATAATTTGAGCTTCAAAAATAAATATAATATTTAATTGTGACAATTGAATAAATAAAAATTCATGAATCCATGATAATATATTTATTATTTTCTTAGCTTTTTAATTATATTTTTTTGAGAGAGAACTCAATGGGTGGAAGGGGGGCAAGGGGAGAGAGAGAGACAATCTTAAACAGCACACTCAGCACTCAGCACAGAGGCTGAGCTGAGCCAAGGCCTCAATCCTATGACCCTGGGATTATGACCTGAGTTGAAACCTAGTCGGATGCTCAACCAACAGAGCTACCCAGGCTCCCCACTGATACAACATTAAAAAAGAAAGAAAAAAAAAGAAAAGCATCTCTAAAGCCATCAGAAGGTGACTATCATCAAATCAAATCTTTTTAGGTAAAAGTATTAGAGAGTTGGCAAATTAACACTCATCTTTAACAGGAATGACAAGTGCAGAAAAATATTAGAATCTTAAAAGTCACTATTTTGCAGCCAATAATTGAAAATAATTGGTTATAGGCCATATTGATTACAGGTCAAGTGTCAGAAATAGATTCCACAAGCATTGGGTGAAAGGTCCTGGAGAAACAGTACATACACCACTATTAACAGCAAAGATAACTTGTCCATTGTAACAATATTCCTTTAAATGTGATAAAACTGTCACTTGTGAATCAGATTTAAATAAATTGGCTGCATTAGAGATAGCCGGGTTTCTCATTCTGAAAACACCACTTGATGTGATGCAAAATGAAGAAGAGGTCACCTTAAAAGATTTTTACCTTAATTATATCTTTATTTTCATCTTAAAGTTTTCATGTTTTGTAGAAGTTAAAAATGTTTTCGGTCAACTGACTTTAACTATTTATGTTGTTTGAAATGTATAACCTTGAAAATTGCATTGCAGTCTCTTGTGGTTGAATGTTTCCAAACCCTCTATAAAAACGAAATCCTGAAAGATGTCATTAGATTTGAAGATCATTACCAAAGAAGTCCTCAACATATAGTCTTACTTTATTTTAAAATAACATATTCTTGTGGTTCAAAGGTGATGTATATTAAAGATAGATAAAATGGAGAATGCAGATAAGTATAAGAAGTTAAACACTAACTCTTATCCCTAGTTTCTCTAAATTCTATTGTCAGTTTTTTATTGTGCCTCCTGACAATCTTTGTTCTATAAACATTTATTCTGTGTTCAAAGCACACTGTGTGTGTGTGTTTATACTTGATATCAGATTTTTTTGGTCACTTTTCATGTTATGATAGTTATGCACCCAGTTAGATTCCAATATTTCTTTATGATTTATTTGAATTTTTATGTGTGCCAGAGACTTATGTATTTCATGATTTTTTTGGCATGTCTATCTATAAGTAATAACTACTTACATTTTCTTACAAACATAGATATGACATAGTTAGGTTTTGATGTTTTCAAAGTGAAATTATTTTGAAGATGGAAATGCATTTTCTCCCATTTCCTCTGAAATGATAGTCTCAGGAAGCCACAGAAGTTATGGAGGAAGATTTGAGAGAGGCAGGAGAAAGATGGTTGGGAGGCGGCACTGAAGTGGTTGAATCGAACTACTTGTCATAGACATTTTAAGAATAGGACACAAAGCATTTTGGTTTGGCAAGTTTTAATAAGGTGCTTTTTAGAAGTGATTTATTAGTCGCTCAGATTATAATTGCATCACCCATATAATATTTAACACATTCTACTACGAATATAAATGAATTAAATAACACTTGACAAAATAAACAGAATTGTATCGATCATGAAATTTATTGAATAAATGTGCATATTTTAACTTGAGGACTGCATCTTAACCATTCTTTCTTCCACAAACAGGATAGGTCAGTTTCCCATTCCAACAGGTTGCTTGGAATGTTTGTTGTGGTGTCTGCATATGATATCCTCTCATACATTCAAAGCGCACAGTTTCCCTTGTTTGGAAATATCTTTTATTCTTAGAAGACCTTCTTAATTGTAAGTTATGTTTTTTCATGATGTCTTCTGATATTATACATACATCTGAAGGTTAAAAAAAAAAAGTGAACATAGCATGAAGCAGTAAACAAATATTTTCAACAAGATTTCAGACTTCCAAGTAGAATCTTCTACACTGGTCCAGAGCTTTATTTTCAAAACCTTTTCCAAACCAATTCACTGAAAATCCATCACGGAGACGTAAATCATTTTAAATGATTAATGACGTAAAATTGAGGTGCTGTTTAAAGTATGATAATTACGAGCACCTGGGTGGCTCGGTTGGTTAAGCAATCCACTTCAGCTCAGGTCATGACTCATGGTTTGTGAGTTCAAGCCCCATGGGCTCTGTGCTAACAGCTCAGAGCCTGGAGCCCATTTTGAATTCTGTGTTTGCCTCTCTCTCTGCCCCTCTCCCGCTCACGCTCTGTCTCTCCTTCAAAAATAAGTAAACACTAAAAAAAACTTTAAGTATGATAGTTAAATGTCAAAATGAAAGATTCATCATTTTGAATTCATCATTTCATCATTAAAGAATATTGTGTTGCTGTTATTGCTTGAGCAAGAGTTTTTTCAAACTTTATTTCTTCACATATTAATATTTGGTAGTCGCACATTTGACAGAATAGCTGTTGGTTAATCTGTGAAAATTCTGTTAAAAACAGCAAAACATCTTTCTCATTATACTGATTTACCC